CCCGGCTATTTTTTGGTTGCAGCCGTCATTGTTGTTTGGCGGGTCTGGGCTGGGGATTCGAACCCGCCACCTTAGGTGTATGTGGCTGGCGCCTTAGCCAGTTGAGCTATATGCGCTGAGCCGGAAGAATAGATTTAAGCAATTCAAAATAACAAATTTAATTGCTTTTTAGTGCCAACATTGATCAATAACTCAGAAGTTAAAAATCATACATATGTTGAATTACATCTTGAATTTCATAAAATATAATTTCATAATAGTAAAGATACTATCTAAATAAATTCTATATATCATCCCAGTTATTTTTTTTTTAAGTTACTTACACTCAATTGTAGGACACAAGAAAATGTACAGCTAAATTGTGTAATTTCTACAGGATTGTTGACATGACATTGAAGATATGTCCTTATATAATTATCTTACTCATGTTAGAAAATACTTGCAACCTTTCATGTAAGTAGAATCATAAAACATTAAATATTTACACTCTAAGCAATTGGCATAGAGTTTTTTGTAATAGTCAGAAATAATCTCTTGTATCTCTGTGGTATCAGTTGATATCTTCCCCTTTTCATTTCAGATTAAGGTTATTATTAAAGATTTTACTTTTCTGTTTCTAGTTAATCTGGCCAATCATTTATTGATTTTTTAATTTTATTTATCTTTTTGAAGAACTTTTTTTCATTCATTTTCTGAATGATTCTTTTGTTTTCAATTTCATTTATTTCTGATTTAATTTTGATTATTTCTTTTCTTCTGCTAGGTTTGGGATTGGATTGCTCTTTCTTTTCCATTTCTTTAAGATGATTTATTAGGTTGTTGATGTGCTCTCTTGCTGTTTTTTGGATCTAGTGCAATAAATTTCCCTCTTAGGACTGCTTTTTCAATATCCCACAAGTTTTGGTGGCTTGTGTCTTCATTGTTGTTATGCTCAAGGAATGTTCATGATTTCCTCCTTTATCTCTTCCTTGACCCAACTGTCATTCAGCATAAGGTTGTTTTGTTTCCATGCCTTTTTGGTCTGAAAGATGTAATTTCAATTCTTTTGATTTTGTTGAGATTTGATTTGTGTCCTACGATGTGATCTATTTTGGAAAATGTTCCATGAGCTGAAGAGAAGAATGTACATTCCTTAGCTTTGGGATGATGTGTTCTGTATATGTCTATTAAGCCCAGTTCTTCTAGGGTCTCATTTAAGTCCTTTGTATTTTTGTTTAGTCTCTGTTACAGGATCTGTCCAGTTCTATAAAAGAGGTATTAAAGTCCCTAGGTATTATGGTGTTATAGGATATCGCATTAAGGTCTGTTCCATAAATGTGGGAACATTTATGTTGGGTGCATAAATATTTAGAATTAAAATGCCCTCTTGACCAGTATGAAGTGTCCTAACTACTTAAATTTTTTTCAAACCATTCGTTTGTTATTTCCATTTAGTCAATGGATATTTGAATGCCTCACATGTGCCAGATACTGTTCTGTAACTGTGGTTATAGAATTGGCTAAATCGGCTCGGCTCCTATAGCTCAACCGGCTAAGGCGCCAGCCATGTACACCTAAGGTGGCGGGTTCGAATCCCCAGCCCGGACCCGCCAAACAACAATGATGGCTGCAACCAAAAAATAGCCAGGCATTGTGGCGGGTGCCTGTGGTCCCAGCTACTTGGGAGGCGGAGGCAAGAGACTCGCTTGAGCCCAGGAGTTGGAGGTTGCTGTGAGCTGTAATGCCACGGCACTCTACCCAGGGGGACAGCTTGAGGCTCTGTCTCAAAAAAAAAAAAAAAAAAAAGAATTGGCTAAATCAAAAACATTCTGCCTTCATGGACCTTACATATTAGTTAAGGGGGACGGGATGGGGAATAAAGACCAAAATAATTAAGTGCTGTGGAGAAAAATAGTTATAAGGTAGGGTTAGAGGAATACAGAAAAGGGGTAAGAGCATTGGTATTTTATACAAAATGGTTCAGAAGTACAAAGGCCCTGAGGGTAACATGGTTAGGTATTTGAGGATCTAATATCAGAGAGAGTCAAGTATGCCTAAGACAGATTAAATGACATGAGTATGGTAAGAGATGAGATTATTTCATTTCATTTATTGCATTTCAGGAGTTGGTGACCTTTAGAGATGTGGCTGTAGACTTCTCCCAAGAGGAGTGGGATTGTCTGAATTCTTCTCAAAAGCATCTGTATAGTAATGTGATGTTGGAGAACTATAGGATCTTGGTCTCACTGGGTAAGGATCTCTTTCCCCTGCAAAATTAAGCTTCTACTCATTAGGTGCTCTTTGCTACCACCATTGTGAAATTTTGGACAGCATCTGCAAACCATGACTTCTGCCTGTGCCAAACAAATGGTTTAATATTTGTTGAGTTGACAGTAGACAATTCTATTATTAACATGTGCTTGAAGCTTCACCTTCCCTATCTTTCTAATACATGTACTTTACACATTTTTCTTTGGCCTCCTGTAAGCTCCATCTTCCCTGATGATCTGAGGATTTAATATGAGTTCTGGGATATCCACAGCATGATCAAATTGTACCTCTTTTTTATATGCAGGACTTTGCTTTTCCAAGCCAAGTTTGATATTATTGTTGGAACAAGGAAAAGAGCCCTGGATGGTGAAGAGAGAGCTGACAAAAGACTTGTACTCAGGTTAGTGAAGAGGAATAGGCAGGTAAAAACCCTTTCAGGGTCACTGCTCATCCTGATTCAAAGGTATCGCCTCTTCGCTCTTCTTTGTGGGCACATTTTTCTCAAATGTTCTAGGTCTTAATAGAAACTTGGAGACTTTTTGAATGTTCTCCGATATTTGTTATTCATAACTATCTCTCTTCTTGCACTTTGCTCTTTCCTTTCTAATAATTCATATCTGTTCTCTGAGTTCCATTCCCTCTGTTTCAGAAATCTAATTTTTTAAAAAGCCTTTCCTAGTCTTTTAAACTTTTGAGCTCTACAGACATCTATAAATGAAGTAGCAAGTTGAAAGTGTGATACTTATATGCAAAAAGATGTTAGGAAAGTTATTATTATTTTTTTCGAGACAGTCTTACTCTGTCACCCTAGGTCAGTGGTTCTCAACCTTCCTAATGCTGCGTCCCTTTAATATAGTTCCTGTGGGTCATGCCCACAGGTTGAGAACTGCTGCCCTAGGTAGAGTTCTACGGCATCATAACTCACAGCAACGTCAAACTCTTACCTCAGCCTACCCAATAGCTGGGATTATAAGCATGTGCCACCACATCTGACTAATCCTTTTATTTTAAGTAGAGACAGGGTATCACTCTTGGTCAGGCTGGTTTAGAACTCCTGAGCTCAAGCAATCTACCTGCCTCAACTTCCCAGAGTGCTAGGATTACAGGCATGAGCCACCATGCCCAGCTTTAGGAAAGTTACTTAATCTCTCTGTGCTTTTGTTTTGTCATCTGAAAAGTAGGATAATAACTTTTCAAGTATTTTGAGCAGTTCCATCTCGTAATATGGACTCAATAGCTGTTAGCTGCTATTAGTAGTAGTGGTAGACCTCCAAATACCTCATTTTTGTTTTAGTGGTCTGTTCATTCATTCTTTCATTCCTTTAATCAACATTTATTGAATCTGCAGTATAAACAGGGTACTTGAAATTCCAGGATATTATACTTGTTTTTTCCTTTTTTTTAAAGTCAGAGTCTCACTTTGTCACCCTCGGTAGAGTGCTGTGGTGTCACAGCTCACAGCAACCTCCAGCTCTTGGGCTTAGGCAGTTCTCTTGCCTCTGCCGCCTGAGTAGTTGGGACTACAGGCGCCTGCCACAATGCCCGGCTATATTTTTTGTTGTTGCAGTTTGGCTGAGGCTAGGTTTGAACCCACCACCCTCAATATATGGGGCTGGCATCCTACTCACTGAGCCACGGGCGCTGCCCTGGATATTATACTCGTATACATGTAATTGAACAATTGACAGGGTAGCAGCAGAGGTACAACATAGCAATAAATGGCACATCTGATGAGAAAGCTGACATGAAGGAAGCTCAGAGGGTAACTGGGAAGATGATGGTCATTAACAAAGATCAGGAGCTAGAGGACATTTAAGGGAGACAAAGTAATAGTTTTAGCACTGTGGTATGGGTAGATAGTAGGAATCATTAAGGTAAAATGGACTAACGTTCTGTCACTGTAAACCTCTCTGTAAACACCATTCCCTAGCTCATCCACTCCTTCCCATTGCCTCTTCCCAATCTTAATGTGTATGTTCTAAGAAAAAAGTTTGATGTCGAACTATAGTGGCAAAGAATTATTATTAAATTTTATTAAATTTTATTGTTAAATCATGCACAGATACATAAACTTATTGTAGTTTAAATAATAATAGAACAAAACCCCATTTACTTCGTGGCTTAAGAAGTAGGAAATTGTCAAAGTCTTAAGGGTCCCTGTACAATATGCAACACCTCCCTGTAGCCCACCGTCACCTCTTCACAGGGTAACCATTATCCTACAATGTTTATCATTCCCTAGCTTTTGTTTATAGTTGTAAGATTATATATGTGTGTGTCTATGTGTGCGTGTGTATACACATATGAGTAAAATGTTTACATATGAATGTTCTCAACTTTTTTATGGATGGAAAGATATTGTACATGTGAATTCTATGACTTTTTTTTAAACTCAAAATTATGTTCCTGAGGTTTATCCATGTTGATTTTTGTAGCTATGGTTCATTGATTTTTCTTAACCAATAAAATGTAATATTTCATTCCATTGCATAAACTACAGTTTATCTATTGCTGGTCACTTGAGTTGCACTAGTTTCATACTATTGTAAATGTTACTGCTATAAAATATTGACCTAAAGGAAGAAACTAAAGTGCAAAATATAATTTTAAAGAGTTTGCTTGAGCCAAGATGAGGACAGTGTCCTAAAGACTCAGAACCAAGAACCTTCCATATGCGCTCTATTGCAACCCCCAAGAGTGCTAATGATTTGACTGATGGCTGATAGCCCTTAGGTAGCTTGAGGAGGAGGGTTTGTCACTAGAAACACCAAGGTATGATCGGAGGTTTGGAACTTTTAGCCCTACCCCCAACTTCAGGGGAGGGGAGAGGGCCTGAAGGTTAAGTTGATTGCTAATGGTTGGGAGCAGTAGCTCACGCCTGTAATCCTAGCACTCTGGGAGGCCAAAGTAGGTGAATTGCCTGAGCTCAGGAGTTCGAGACCAGCCTGAGCCAGAGTAAGACTTTGTCTCTACTAAAAATAGAAAAATTAGCTGGGTATTATGGCGGGGGCCTGTAGTCCC